ATAGCGCTCTTATGGCAGTGAATGCAATACTAGTGAACAGTTTGTATGCGAGTGTTGTTCACGATTTGCATTGCGTTCGCACTGTTTGTGTCAATAAGAGTTAAGTGCATGTCATGAATGAAGCAATACTTGTGTGGTCTATGAGTTGCCATCTATTGTGTTGTATTCGTTGAAAAATAAATGTTTAAAAGTTTAAAGATTTAAACAATTAATTAATACTTTTTTATTTTTTAAAATAAACTGTATTTCAATAGTGATGTTAAACAAACTAAAAGTTAAATGACCCTGCTCTCAGTCGTATATTAAATACATTTATTGCTATAACATATACATTAATATATTAAATTGTATTTATTATGATGCTGTATAATATTATAATATACTGTTTTATATACTGTATTATATAAAAGTCTCGCCACAATACTGGTAAGTCGTGTTAAATTGAATATAGGTTAGAAATGAACTAGATGAAAAGAAATTTTTTTTGCAAGAATTGATTTTTGGCACGATAACGTCGATATTTTTAGTTCTCATGAGTAGTTATTGTGTCAGGGTATCGAATCCAGTTGATTATTAATACCCTTTAGAAAACATAGGCCGAGTTCTTGATAACTCTCTATAAGTTCAGTTAAGTCCATATGTTTATATGCTAAAAATGTATTCAGGTCCTTTTGTCAATATAATTGCATTTGAATGAATAGATAACCATGCTCAATCCATAACGAGTAATATTTGACCACATGTTTCGACTTTACATCAAATGAGTGCCGGATATCCATTAAGAAGTCATTGATGTCCTTCATATCTATTATAAATAATTTGACGTTTTTTTAAGTTTAATAAAATATAATTCAAAATTTATTTAAATCTGTGGCTTTATTTGACTATAATGTGGTTAGTTATTTCTTACCCTTAAACCCGTATTTAATATCCAGGTCAATATGAATATGTTTGTTGAGTCAGTTTATGTCGCACGGGGTGTATAGTAACAAAATATAACTCATGATGGTTCATTTATAAAAATTTATTTATTGTTTAAATCCATAAATAAAACATTATAACAATTATAAGGCTTTTCATACTTTAAACTAAAACTTTAAAGTTTGACCAAAACTTTTCCAGTATTGGAACCGCTGTGAAGATACTAAAAGACAATTCAATGGAAAAAATAAATGAATTCAATGTTTGATAGAAAACCTCATGAAATGAATGCAAACCTTAAGGCCATTGGAAACGGCTTCGAGAC